CTGAAGTGTTTTAGTCAGTGGGACACTTCATTATTTTTATGTGACTGTTTGCATGTTCAGGGCAGATAAATTACATCTTGGGATATAAGTAAGTATTCATTTCTGCTTCCTAATCTACAAATTGTTCAATTAAATCAATTGATTATCAATGACTATTCCCTGGTGTTTTCTGAGAGGCTTAGTGTGAGATTAATTCCATATTATTCCGGCAAGCCTACTGGCAGGCAGTATTCTGGGCTCCTTCTATAGACGATGGAGAGAACATGAGATTTTAAAGATGTGCTTATCTCAAACTTTATCTCAAACTTTACACATCTTTTATCTTGAACTTTTACACATTTATAGTAATAACAGTGTTAACCATAGGGATTTAAACAAGTATAAAATGTATTTGCTAGGTATTTGCTGCTAAACTGTTCCTCTCACAACTGCACGACAGGTTTCTTGACTGATACCAACATAATACCTCTGGTCACAGAGCAGATGTTCGTACCTGTGTAACGCATAAACTGGGATTGCTAATGGTAAAATCAGAGAATTTTCCCTCAGGTTGCCCTACATTTTGTGTCTGCACTAGAGAGCTTATATTATAAAGTTTAGCATGGTAGACATGACTAGAATGGCTTTTTGAAAAAAGAATCAATAAAGAAAGCTTGGGTACAACGCAATTATTTTATTACTGCTTAAAAACTTAAGAAGAAAACTAAATTACAATGTAGTAAGTTTTAAGAGGAGAGAAATACAATGTTATTTCATGAAGTTCAGATTTGTCCTCAGATACAAACACTAGGACTAGAAAGAGTAACTAAATTTCTTCCCTTCCACACAGGCCACACAGCTATAAATTAATACTAATAGAGTGAAGACAAATTATAGCCTGGACTAGAAAGAAAAATCCAGTGATATTCTATTTTTCCTGAACTTCTGTTGTACTGCTCTTGGAATTAAACTGGCAAAGAGAAAGAGTGGAGCTATGTTCTTACTGAAGTCGATTATAGAATTTTATTCACTGTAAGATTTTCACTCTAGTATCAGGCATCGTTTAAGGAGGCTGACAGCTGATCTCCTTACATGGTGAAGGTAAATAAAAACATATCATAGAATCATAGAAATATAGAGTGGTTTGGGTTGGAAAGGACCTTAAATATCACCTAGTTTCAACCCCCTTGCCATGGGCAGGGACACCTCCCACTAGATCAGGTTGCCCAAAGATCCATCCAGCCTGGCCTTGAACACTTCCAGTGAAGGGGCTGCCAAAACTTCTCTGGGCAACGTTCTAGTATGTCACCAACTTCACAGAAAATATTTTATTTCTAATATCTAATCTAAATGTAATGTCTTTCAGTTTAAAACCACTGGCCCTTGTCCTATCACTGCACTCCTCGATATAGAGTCCCTCTCCATCTTTTCTGTAGGCTCCTTTAAGTAGGGGGAAGGCCTCTTTCCTATGTTTGCAATATGTCTTTTGTCTGGTGCATTAGACAAATTCAAAGCCTATTAAAAGCAAGAACCATGTTGCTTTAATGAAGTCCCTGAGATGAAAGAGTCCTGGAAGTAGCTGCAAACATCTCTACTGCGTATATGTGCTATAGAGGGTGACACTGCTTGTCATCAAGATCACTTACTGAGGGTGTACTTAGCTTACCAGTTGTTAACACCAAAAGCTATTAAATTAGATAAATAAATAAGAAAAAAATATATTATTTCTAACCAGCTTGGTTTTGGAACAGTCCTTCACTGGTATGAGCAAAGGAAAGGTAAATTTGTTCAGAGTATGGGATGAGTAAGTCAACCAGCATGCTTTGTGCATGTTCCATTAACATATCACACTCAGTACATATCACTGTATGGATCTGTACATTCGGTTTCAAGTGATGTTCCCTGAAATGTTCAGAAGAGAATCCTTGGAGATGTGAAAATGAATTGCTGACATTTGTATAATTTTGCTCAATTGGAATAACTTAACTTTGATGTTTGGGAGAATCACAGCCCTAAACCATAAACATTCAGGATTTTATCACCAGAGTTTACTTATATGAATGTCACAGATTTGTCACATCACTATTTTGTTTTAATTAAATCAATGTCATGACCTTTTGCAGGAAACTGGCCCAAAGACTAAACTAGTAACTGTCCATATTAAAGTAAAACAAACCTAAACAAAATCGATACCAGATGAAAAACTTCATCAACTGAGTTAAGGTAAAAACAGAAGCTCAATTAGAATTATGTATACAGTTTAAAAGACACTGGAAAACTGTCTTTGGCTCCTAGTGTCCAGAGGACGTACTTGTGTTGCTTTCCAAAAGATATTTTTCCTGCAGAAATGCTACAGCATTGTAAGAAGGCATTGAGACTGCAGCAGTTCGGGTGTTAAAAAAGCAAATAAGGCTTTGAACACTGTAGCTCTTTTCTTCCATGAAGATTGTAGTGCCCACAACTATGCAACTCCTCACAAAACAGGTTGAAGATGTGGAGATCACGCAGAGAGGCACTAAGAAAGGTTATAGGGGGCATTTTGGTTCTGGCTGTTCTGAGTTGATTTTAAAGTGCTGGGGAAATGTCTAAAGACAGAAGGATTTACACAAGTGAGAATTAAACTTACACGCCATAGGGCACATAGTCTTCTTTTCACAGGAAGTGATGAACCATCAACAAGTGTCTCAGCACGAAGCTGGGTTTATGCTTCTTCAAAAATATCAGAAATTAAGTTCCTGCCTTTGGAGGGTAAAACTCCACAAACTTAAGAATAGTGGATGACTCTAGTGTACAAATGTTTGTAAGTTCATACCCCAGACAAGCTCTCCAACTTGCCTGCAAATTGGAAGCTGCTTCTTGAACAGCCTTCTCCCTGGTGCCCATATTTTGCTTGTGTGATCCAATAAAAGGAAAGCATAAAGAACTATGTGAAAATCCAGATAACATGAAGGGAAAGCAGAGGGATAAAGGAGAAGCAATGCAACAATGGTAAGCTGATGCACAAGTATATATGACTTCGGGTGTGAAGGGAATGACCTGCTGCAATAGGACAAGGGGCAATGGTTTTGAACTGAAAGAGAGTAGATTCAGACTAGATATAAGGAAGAAGTATGTTTTACTATGATGGCAGTGAAACAAGGAAAGAGATTGCCCAAAGAGGTGGTAGATGCCCTGTCCCTGGAAGCATTCAATGGCAGGTTGGAAGGGGCTTTGAGCAACCTGATCCAATTGAAGATCACAGAATCATAGAATCATTAAGGTTAAAAAAGACCTCTAAGATCATGTAGTCCAGCTGTCTACCCAACACTACCATGTCCCTGTTCATTGCAGGGCATTGGACTAGGTGGCCTTTGAAGGTCCCTTCCAACCCAAATCATTCTATGATTCTGTGACTAGGAACTAACCAGTGCAAGGACTAGGAGTATGCACATATTCATGAGCATGCTCCAGATGAAGGGCAAGACTAGTCATGTTCTGGCTGTTTGAACAGCAGAACGCAAGAAGGGATGCATTGATGACTAAAAAGAAATGTATCACTGTCACAGAGAGTGGAGAAAACCATGCAAGAGTCCAGGTGAGGACCCGAGATCTGTCCAATCCTAACTAAACCTGTATAGTTTTTAGCACCCAGACCTCATACATTCAAGGACGACTTAGAAGTTAGTAAAAAACTTCAGCCATTGATGACTGCTCACAGTTAACTTTTGTTTAAGCTTCATTAGCTAAAATGGCCATTTAGCTGTCTACATGTAGACACCTAATTTAGGAATTTTGACCTGGAGCTGAATTTCACCCTGTGTGCATCTCAGGAATTGCCAAACTGGCAGTTGCTAGCTCCTCCAGAGAAGGAAGACACTAGGCCAAATGTGCTGAGATTTGGTCTTCTGCCTTTTTTTCTCAAGAGGGAGTCGTTTCCCACCATGTGGTTACAGAACAGTTGTGGCCTAAGTCCTGCTCTGGTATCTCTGACAGAGAGAGGCACACACTGAGCTAAGCTTGGTCCCACAGCCCAGGCAGCTGGATGTCTGCACGATGCTTACGGCCTGTTTCCACAAACCTACGGACATGATTTAACACACATGAAACTGCCACCCTCTGTATTCCTTGGGGATATTGCTATAGAATACCTAGCACAAGCAGGGTCACAGGCTGCTTTTGTGAGGCTGAAATGCTGCAAGACCCAATTAAATACTTCATTCATACTTCAGACCCAAACCAAACTCCAAATCACGTAATTATTCTTTCCTACCACCACTGTTTCAGGATACAACACATCCAAATCCAACTTTATTTACATCATCCTCTCTCCCAGGCTAACTTACTCAGAAAGAAACCTCCCTCCTAATGTGTGCCTCACAAATTATTCATCCTTTCCCACACCAAGACACCACATATCTGTTAGGACAGTGATTAGGATGAGGTACACTAAGAACATCATAAGATATGGTCTTTTATTCCTTTAAGGAGTCTGCAGATCCTTTTTATTCCCGCTGCTTTTAGCCGTGTAAAGCTGGTAGCTTAAGAAAAATAACTTCAGGAAAAATATTTTGAACCTCATAAAGTTTATTTACTTAGTAAAGTTATATTACAATATATACAGTTTCTATTTACATATTTACCTTTCTAAGAAATGAAGCACCATAGGATACATTAATATGCTAGAGGAATTTACAAAAAATTCATTTTTGCATCAAAATAGTTGTATCTACAGACACACATTGGCTAGAACCAAGTTCTCCTAAGACGCTGAGTTCAGTGCCTTTTGGATTAGACTGCTACTGAAGATGCCAAAGAAAAATTTAATTGCTGTCAGCCATCCATCTGCTATGCTTCAGGATGAGAGATCTTAGCCACGTCATTTCAGGGGCTATGTGCAAACTTAATCCTCACTAAGTTGGAGGTATAGATAGAAGGTATTCTATAAGAAACAAGAATGCAACACTTTCGTCAGATTTTTACTGTCATCACAAACAGCATTTCATCAGAATGGGAAAAGAACACTGCTTAACTGTTTATACGCATTATGAAAAGTGAAGTCAAGAACCTGGAAGCTTATGTGATACGCTATCATGCATTCCCCAAGGAACCCACTTACTCTTCAAGAGCTCAGCCTTACAGCTACTGAAACTTGTGGCATGATCCCCTTAACTCGAGGAGAAAGCTTAGCTCTTCGCTTTCTAAGCTTTACGCCACTGTCAAGAAAAAAAGAAGGCTCTGTCCAAGGTACAACATTTCCATCAAGTGAATAAAAAACATTTGGAAGGGGAAGATGTAAAATGAGGTATTTAATAAACTACATCAAAAAAGAAAGCACCTAGACTGTTTTGTAAGATATCTTAGATATTTTACATATGTAATCATTACATTCACCTGATTGTGGGTCAAGTTTTCTATAAACTATTTATACCTTTGGCACTACCTAATTTATGCTTTTCATATTTTTGCTTCACTAGACGTTGGATCTAACGGCTGGAAGAAAGCATTGTTACTCTGAGGACAGTTGTTATGACAGACACAGGTGCTGATCAACATCATTGGCTTTTGTAAGACTTTGCCCTGAGGACAGCGGAACTCAACTTGTATCGTTTTGGTGTTGTGTGGGGTACAGCATCGCCCATCGCTGCAGAGGCCACAGTAACGAGGTTTGTAAGTCTGGGCACTAGTGCAGTTCTTGTACTCAAAGTGAACAGCTTTCAGGGACTTCTTTGTTCGGACACATTTCTTCCCTTTCTAGGAGAAATATGAAGAGACATTAGATGTACCACTGCATAAGACAGAAAGCGGTTAAAAATGACACGCAAGGATATGCGTCTACTGTGAAAACTTACTGTCTTTGCTCATTCAGCAGCAGTAAGATTCTGCAGCTACTTCAGTAGTTACTTAAAAGTAACTCCTGCAGGATTTGCCCTCTGAGACAGTGTGTTATTGGGCCAGTAATAAATAACAAATAATTAAAGCCAACTCTTGTAACCTGAGACAAGCCAAACCAACATTCATTATGAAACTATGCTGGAAAACATCTCAGGCCGGTGTAGCTCCACCAAAGAATCAGGAAGCCAAAGGAGCAAGTTACAGGGGAAAAAAAGAGGGCTCAAGTGTCATAGCCCATTCTTGTGACTCAGGGTACAGTCAGCTTTATCCCGGTTGTTCTTAACAGAGGTTTGTCTAACTTGTCCTTAGAAGCTTTCAGTGATAGAGATGCTACATCAGCCCAGACACTCCTAAAACTTTACTCTTCTTACCGCCTGAAAGGTTTTCACCCACGTCTCATTTTTTATGCAGTCCAAACTTGTACTCCCCATGGACGCAGAATAGGCTGCAATATCTGAACACAGTTATGAGATTGCATCTCCATTCTCTTGCATTCAGACAATATTTCCTTGGCTGAATGTGTTTTCTGGACCTCTGATTACTCTTGTTGGTCTCCCCAACTCTTCCCAAATGTTCTAGGTCCTCTTCAAAACACAGTATTTAAAACTACACAGAGTATTCAGCAAAGGCCTTGGCAATGCTTTCCACACTCAGAATATTACATAAAGCAATGGTCCCTGATAGTAACACTTGCATGTGTAGAAGTAGCAAAAAAGACAGACAGACATTTCTTGCACCTGAAGTGTCAGTGGTGGTTTGCTTTTTGAAAAATCATCATAAGGATTAAGATAAAGCCCAATTTAGTCAGGCAGATGTTGCAGGATTTCACACATTACTCCACAGTTCTAGATGCTCAACAGACTAGAAATCTGACAACCATTCCATGCGATTGGAGCAGCTCTGAAGCATACATACAGGTAGTACAGCTGCATTTGTAGAAGTTAGACTGTGTGAGCTGCTAAAATAGTCTGCACATGCAATACATTTGATCAGTTTGGAACAGCTCAAATTCTCATAGAACAGTTTGGGATGGAAGGGACCTTAAAAGATCATCTAGTCCAAACCCCCTGCAGTGAGCAGGCGTATTTGCTACTAGATCAGGTTTCTCAGAGCCCCACCCAACCTGACCCTGAGTGTTTCCAGTGCTGGGCCATCTGCCACCCGCCTGGGCAACCTCTTTCAGTGATTCACAGAATCACAGAATTATTGAGGCTGGAAAAGATCTCTGAGATCACCAAGTCCAGCCACTGTCAATGCAAAAAAATTCTTCCTTGTATCTAGTCTGAATCTACTCTCTTTTAGTTTACAATCCTTACCCTTTGTCCTATTGCTACAAAGTCTATTAAAAAGTCTATCTCCACCTTTCTTGTACGTTTCCTTTAAATATTTAAAGGCTGCAATAGGGTCTCCCCAGAGCATTCTCTTCTCCAGGCTGAACAACCCCAACTCTCTCAGCTTGTCCTCACAGAAGTGCTCCAGCCCCTGATCGTATTTGTGGCCCTCCTCTGGGCCTGCTCCAAAAGGTTCATGTCTTTCCTATGCTGATGGATCTCAGAACTGGGCATGGCACTGCAGCTGGGGTCTCATCACAGCAGAGTAAAGAGGCAGAATCACTTCCCTCAATCTGCTGGAGGTGCAGCACAAAGCTACTGAGAAATCACTGCAAGTCTAAGGGTTCCCAAAAGCACCAGGCTTGTGGCACACATGCTAAAAGGTGTAGTTACATACAGCTGCATCTGGAGCATTCTAGAACATAACATCGCAACCTTGGAATTACAGCCAAAGAGACCCTGCTCCCCCGCCATTCTCTGCAGCGTACCTTATCAGATGGGTCTTCATTTTCACAAGGTCTTATCATGCAAAGCCGTGTCTGCTTCACCATCTCACACTGTTGATTTCTGTTGGTAACACGGGTGGAAAAGCCCATGCCGCAGCTTTTGGAGCAAGCACTCCATTCTGTTGTCTGCTCAATACAATTGGCACTTGAATCTGACACATCAACCCCGAGAGTGGCCTCTTGTCTGTAAGCTGGAGACAAAACCCCACAGAAGTTAACTACAAGAAAAACTCATGTGAAAACTCAGTATCTAATTGAGCCCCACCACACCTGGGAAGAAACACGTGAGACAGAAAATAAAAAAAGGCACAAATCCATGCTTTTGACAGGATTTAACAATTTTAAAAGCTGGTTTTTTGAGTCCTGGATGGCAGCTTCCTAGATCTAAAAATAACAGAAAGGTGCCTATCAGTATAATCAGGAAATACTTTAGATTCAGTTCACTCAAGTCCATAGCTGGAAGAATTACTGACAATTTTTAAACCATGGAAATGCATGACAGATCTGTTCTAAAGCTCTATCATAAAAATGTTTATATCAGACATGATTTGAGAGGCTGAATGATTTTTCTAAACTAATAACCAGCATGGAAGTAAAGCCCTTTACTCTGAGAGCCATGAAGTCAATTATTGCCAGATTATAGGCAGGGTGATGGTGCGGAAGGAGGAAAGAAGTAATTTCCAGCAGTTATCACAGCTACTCAAAGCCATGGCCAACTCCGATCATTGTCCTGCTCTCACGGCAGTGTTAAGCTGTATTATGCCAATATTCCTAACTTTATAGCGTGGTTCAGCATAAACAGAATGAGGAAAGATGACTGAGCTGTCAGTTACAGCTCTAGTTGTTAAGCTTCTCTACAACTGCTTTTCTGCCTTTTGCATGGTAGAGCTCCAAAATGTGGCCTCCCAAGAGGGACAGCCATTGCTAGAAAGAAGGCAGATAATCCATACGCATTTTACAGATTAGCCTGTCACTGTCAAACAAATCAAAGAGAAGGAAAAATAGCAAAAAGGTGGTAAGCTTTCTGTTTATATCTTCTGTGCCTTACAACTGACACTTCATAGCACTCTGACAGGTTATTAGAGCATTTCTTCCTGGATCCTTCTTTACTTCCTTTTCAAATGGATTAGCTAAGTTTCAGCATAACTAACTGCTTAAGATTGCAAAGAGCAGTGACTGGAAGAGTATGCAGAGCCATCAGCTCTCAGTAAAAGTAGTTTATGAAAGTTCATGTGGAACTAGTAGTTTAATTTAAAAGGGATGGAGACACAGTTTGGTAAAAAAACAAGGGTAAAAGATTATATAGCTTTATTTTTTTCAGTTACAAACGCAGTTTATGAGTTCTGCATTTTGGATTTTTATTTTTTTTTTCAGATCCACTCACTGCATTTATAACCACTATTTCTCCAAGTATTTAGTAATGCTTTTGATGCCAACAAAGATGAGAGCTCTAGCATAGACAGGCTCTTTTAGCTACCATGCTGGCCACTTGTAATAGCTGGGGAATTTAAGGGGAAAAAAAGTGTCTTGTAGACTCAGCTGTTAGAATAGTATTTATGATGCAACATATTCTTGCAGAGCAACTAGCAAGACTGCAGCTTTGATCTGGGTCTGGAAATAACGTTTGGAGGATTATGAGCTTGGCCCTGCTTTATTCCACTTGCTGAACCACCCTGTACCAGATAGACAGTAATTTCAGAATTGGCAACTAACTCAAGTTAACCTCCTCCTAAATCTGCTACAGACATTCATCCTCTGAGTATCTTTTTTTAAAACGTGTTGTGCTCTGCCTTAATTCATAACCGCTGTATAGTTACTAGTGACTGTAGAGGAGAAAAAAGAGCAGAAAAAAATGACTGGACAAACCAACGCACCTTAGATTTGGCAAACCCATGGGTGTTTCCAGTGGCGCATAGAATCATAGAATTGTCAGAGTTGAAAGGGACCTTAAAGATCATCTAGTTCCAACCTCGCTGCCACGGGCAGGGACATCCCCCACTAGATAAGGCTGCTCAGAGCCCCATCCAGCCTGGCCTTAAACACTTCCAGGGATACCTCCTCCGCAAAACGACCATGATAATTAGCTTTAGTTTTCTCACCAGCCATAGCAAAACCTCCCAAGATCGCTTCATCTTTCGGGTCGCAGATCCACTTCTCACAGCACTCCCCGGGCACTTCGATTTTCCTGGGGAAAGGGCAGTCGGGCCCGGGGAGCAGCAGGTCCA